AATTTTTTGTGGAGAGAGAGAGAGAGAGAGAGAGAGAGAGAGAGAGAGAGTACATATCAATTTCTTAACTCAAATATAGGATAAGAATAGAGTCCAGGCCTTGAATTGAGTCAAAAAAGTAAAATAAATTTAATTATAAATTATTATAAAATTATTTTATTTTACTTAAAGGACATATCATATGAATCATGAATTTATGAATTATCAGCAGATCTTCAGTGGATTATCTCGCAGTCGGTTATGAAATGTCTTATATATGAACAAACAATATACTGTACAATATAACCCCTTTGACGCAATGCATTATGTGACATATTAACAAGGTAATTCAAAATACAATGGGTATTTTCCAAGTTTGCACTATCAATATATTTTTAGATATTTGAGATCAGGGATTAAACATAGATTATAAATACATCATAAGTGCCACCGGTTATAGTTTTCTAACCAAATATTATTACAATCCTAATGTTAAAACGATTACTCAAATTAAAACAATTATAAATCATAAATATTAGAATAATTTGTAGCAATTAACTTTTAGGTCTAAAATATTAAATAAATAATGACCAACAATACAAACTTATCATGATTTTATTGTCTTTTGTTAGATTGTAAACTGAAACAAAATGCAGTTAATTATACAAATCTAACTTGTTAGAAGAGTTGTGTGACTACAAATTTAAAAATATTTACACAATTAAATTAATAAAAATAAATTATTAGTTTATGAAACACGCTAAATTAATAAAATATTATAAATTATAATTTATAATTAAATTATTATATTGGATACATATTTACAATACAAAACATATTTTATATTATCATATTATATCAATGATGTTATTATAACAACTAATTAATGTCACAATTATCTTTCATTGTGTTATTTTAACATAAATGTTAATAAATCATTATTTTGTAAATCTTTCATGAAAATAGATTTGTAAAATCTTAAAATTATTTAAATTAATTTATGAAACAATCATGTTTGTAATATCTTAATTATTATTAATAATAAAACTCTTTTCGTGAGAAATAACAATTATTTAAACAAATAAAGTTAAGACTTTATATAAATCATTTAAATATACTAAAAAAGATTTAATGTATTTTCTTCAATAATTCTTAAAAAACTTTCTATGAATTCTATACAATAATTATTTTAAATACTGTATAAACAATATTTCAGTGTCAATTAAGTTTATAAAAATTATTTAATTTTTAATAATAGTTTATTAATAAAACAATTAAAATATTATCATGGTTTAAATTACAGATTAAAAATACACAAATTAAAATTTAAAAATGGGATTTTAACGATAAATGATAACAAATGATTAGTTGTTTTCACGGATCAGTCCATACTTGGCCTCGAGATCATCGGCTTCTTTGAAACTCTGAGCGCCGAACACATACTTAACGGGCATTTTCTTCTCCTTATCAATGGTGTGGAGGGCGGGAGTGAATACACGCCAGGCCTCACTCAACTCATCGGTGCGGACAAAGTTGGCCTGTTGTCCGTTAAACACGTCTATTAATAAGCGCTCGTAAGCATCGGGAAGGTATGCGTTCTATACATACAATTAAATATATAGTTGATTAATAAATACAATAAGAATTACAATATAAAAGTCATACATAGAAACGGGTGGCATAAGTGAGATCGAGTTCAGTCTCAATCAATTCATTGCTCATTCCGGGTCTCTTAATGTTAAGTCTTTGATAAACGGCTTCATTGGGTTGAATACGAATAATAGTCATATCCCGCTTCGCCT